ATGACCAGCCATAAAAAAAAAAAGGAAGTTGTCGAATCAGCACGTACGAAGTTTGCAAAACGGATGGTGGGCGAATTCATTGACGTACTAATACTTTAACCTTTGCTGAGCTTCTACCGCCGACAGCAGGCGCAGAACATAGACGTATATGTATACATACGAATGTGTACATTGTACATTTGAACATATATATGTGTACATTTATACCGCGTCATTCCCCTGGATTTTTCCAACATGCATGTGCATGTACGTGCACATAATTGCGCGTTGCAATTCTTACTAATTAATGCGCCATTCAGGGACCAACATGAACGTTGTAAATGTTGCAAAACCATTTCTACGTCGTGTCGTTCGACAGTACAATGGTTATAAATCCAAATTTTAATTCTACATTGCTCGTCGTTATAAATGTTCATTTGTTACATGATATCATTTTGAACAAAATGTCTAATTCGCTTTCTTTCCATTTTTTGTACCGAAGAGACCTTCACGATTTCTATTCATTGTCCATTTTGCAGCAAAAAAAAATTCTGAACAAGCACGTTCATTTTTGTGTGTGTGTACCCCCACTTTTTTCACCTTGTTCAGAACTTTTTCTTTTTTTTTTTTTTTTGTTATGTACCATGTTATAGTGTGAATTGTTTTTGCTTTTAGATTTTTTTTTTTTTTTTAGACTGTTCATAAAAAATTATTTACTTATGGCACCATACATCCACATACTTAGGCAAATGAGCAAAATCACCCTTCAGATTTGTTATGTGAAGATGTTAACAGGAAGTTCCATATTTCGCAGTTATGAGTTTTTTCCCCCTCTGTAAAACTGCCTAGAAATCACTTTAAAAAGGGTAAACATTTACTCAAAAAAAAAAAAAAAAAAAAACGAGAAGAAAGGGCCAAACCGATGAATGTTGCATGTTGTTGTTCTAAATAAATTATCACACGAAGAATCGTTTACGTAAAAATGTGCACACGAAAAAAAAAAAAAAAAAAAAAAAAAGGAAAAAAGAAGTTGTAACCCGTGGCCTCGTTGATCGCCTTAGAATGTGTGATAAATTCCCTGCGTCTATATTTGGAGTAAATTGCCCATTTTAAATGTATACGCAGTATGTATACTCTTTAATGTACCTAAAGCGCCATTTGTTATCTCTATCTTTGTCATATATTTGCACATACTGGTACACATATGAACACATCAAATTGGTCAAAATGAGCGCGCCAAAAGGAATGCGCTTTGTGAAAGGCACACTGTTGGGGGTAATAATCTGTACTTGCTAAAAACGGTGGATTACATTAAAAAGAGGAGTGGCGCAAAATGAATGCCTCTCTTTTATGTATGTTTAGGATAAATTACTGTAAAAAAAGAAATGTCTATACACAAAATAAAATAAAATGACGTCGTGAGCAACACACAATAACGTAAAACAAAGCGCAATATGCCTGTAATGCTGTAGGGTCTAAAAAATGATGTGTCAATCATCGACAAAATGGGGGGCGCACAAATTGACGTCGACCAACTCTTGAATTGACTCAAAACGCAATTACTTAAGTAAAGTCCTTTCATAAAACAAAACTTTTTGCTTAATTAAAGGCACATACAAAAAATGGAATGAAGCACAAAGACGTCATGCTGTACATGAGAGTCTGCCGCCAAAAATTAGTTTCATTAAAAATGTTTAAATATTTTATGCCCCCTCACTGCAATAGCGCAAAGGGGACATTGTTACAAAAAAAAATAAAAGAAAAATAAAAGAATAGCAAAAAGAATAGCAAAAGAAATGAAAAATTGAAAAAATTCCAAAGTGCTAAGAAAAGAAACGTTTTTAACCCAGCAGAAAGGGATCCGTCTTTGAATTATTTCATGTGCACATAATTATATGCTCATATGTATACACCCACGTGCTAATATTTGTCGAACTCAGCTGCTCTGCAAAAAGGGAAAGGTGCATACAACATTAGTGAGCAGCCTCAATTCATATCACATTAAACTACGCTGCGCCGCCAAAACTGCCAGCAACTTCTCACCTAAATTTTCTCCCATGGGCATCTACCAAAAATGCTCTGCCTGTTTTAAAAGAGGGTTCACATTTGAGGGAAAGTGTAATGGCACGGTAGAAGGGACGAAAAAACAGCGCGCAAAAAAGCGCATATATATGTGCATATATACGTATATATACATATGTATATCTATATATATTTGCTCTTTTTTTATGCGCTACCATATGTATCATATATAAGGATCGGCTTCTCATTAAAATGACTCTTCAAACTGCAAGAAAAGTGGGAAAAATAAAAAAAAAAATGATGTTTTTTTTTTTCGAAAATATGCGGCACAATGGGGGAAAAATTCATATATATATACAAATTGACACTTAAAATGCGCGTTCTAGACAGACATTGCCACACATGCTACAGACACGGACGTAGCTTCTCTCCGTCAGTCTCTGTCATTACAGGTACTGCTTGTACACAATAAAGAGGAACAGAAAGGGGACCACGAACAGGGGGAATAATTTAAAAATGAGATTTATGTAGAAGTGCTCCCGCGGGTACTTATGAAGGAGGTCGTTGAAGGAGTAACTGTAGTTGCTGTTCGCGTAACGCTAAAGGGAGGAAGTGATGTGAGGCAAAATAGGTAACAGAAGTGACAACACTGGTGGTGTCACTAAGGGAAGTAATATAATGGATAACCATCATTCCATACAAATAGGGAGCCTGCCCAGTGGGGGGTGGTAACAACATGGATAACCCCCCGTAGGCCTCTTTTTTTTTTTGAAGAAATTTTTCATATGTTACTCTGTTCTGTTCCCTTCTTTCGTTTTCCCTCATTTTACGAACTTCTTCGTAAAAGGCTTTATGAAAATCGGCAAAGTCATCCGAGCGGCTGTAACTTTGGTTATTCTTTGAATCTTCCCCCTTGTTTCCCTTTCCGTAAGGGTTTTCTCCGTAGGGGGGCTTCTCTATGGGGAGGAGGGCATCGTGAGGTGGACGTAGGTGTGTTTTTTTGTGTGTAATGTTATGCTGCTCATTGTTTTACACTCATTCATGAGGGCTATGATATTAGTTCACAGTCGCAGTGGAGTCTACTGCTAAACGCGTAGTGGCACTTAAAATAGATGATTACGCGAATAGTCGTCATTGTACAGGGCTTGGTAGGCCTCTTGGATTTGCTTAAACTTTGAGGTGGCATCAGGGCTTTTATTCAAATCGGGATGGTATAACTTGACTTTTTTTAAATAAGCTTCGCGTATTGTTTTTTTGCAGGCATTTTTAGTTA